CCACATTTCGAATATTATTTCAGCACTTGCAATACGTTCACAGTGGGTAAGCCAACTTTAAAGTTCGATGTGAACTTGGTCCATTATGTGGAACGATATACACGAACTTTAAAGCTTACAAAGCACATGTCTATAGAGAACATGTAAATCTTCTTCATGAAGATTTATGTAAACAAGAAGTACAATTTGATACCGGTACACACACGAACAAAGTGTCTCCATCAACGTATGATGATTCACAATTAGACTTTAGCATTCAAGAGAACGATTTAGAAGACAACGGAAGCGAGAATGAAGGAGAAAGCGATCATGAAACTAGTTTTTGTTGGTTATTACTTAAAGAAGCGAAAACTCGATTGTTAGAGAAAAATGTCTATTTAGATTCATTTGAAAAGTTTTATTTCGAATTACTATTAAATCTGAGAGAAGGTTATTCTTTACCCCAAAATATAATCCAAACAATCACATTCGGATTTAAATCGTTGATTGAGCTAATCCATGAATTATTAAAAATTCAAATTCAAAGTTCCTTCACTCGATGTCAAACAACAACTTCTTCTTTATCAACAGACAATTTTATTTCACCGGGTGATGTTAACAAATTAATTTCGAATATTATATTATCTATACATCAACGAAGTCTGATTTCCTCTCACTCAAAAATATTTTGTGCTATGTGCTTTGGTTTACAAATAGTCGTTCATTTTGCGCCATGTTTATTGTTTTTCTCGCGTTTTGTCGATTCTAACTTTTTCTTGCAGATAAATGTCATTTTTGGATGATTTCATAGAGAGAATGACAGATGTTACAAAAAATGAATGCAACTTTTAGAGATTGTGCAAGAAATATTTCTTTTACGAACCAGCAAAAGAAATAAAGTTAAGCAATCCGAATCAAGTAGCATATTATATACCAATACAATCTAGTATTAGACAAATGTTGAATAAGCCTAATGTATTAAATATGTTAATCAAAAATTATAATGAAACAATTAGTTGTAGTGCTTTTGATCTTGATCTCATGTACGATTATCGTCATGGATCACAAGCAAAATAACATTCAATTTTAAAAAATAAACCTGATTTGTTGTTGTTTCAATTATACATTGATGAAATTGGAGTAACAAATCCCATAGGTACAAAAAAGGATACTCAAAAAATTGCGATGATTTATTTTCAATTAGAAGATTTACCCAATAATGTCAAGTCAATGTTAAAATCAATTGACCTTCTAACAATGTGCCATCCTGCTCATTTATCTGCAAAATCAAATCGAGAAAAGTCTTTTGATTCGATCGTCGAGGACCTCAATGCTCTTCAAACAAATGAACTTTATATTCCAGCTTTAGGTGGTCGATTAGATTTTGCATTTTCTATTGTTGCTGGTGATCACTTAGCATCTAATGATATAGGTGGTTTTCAAAAATCTTTTAGTAATGGCCAATTTTGTAGACATCGTCATATAAATTATGATCAACGATTTATTCATTTAAGTGAAATTTCTTATGTTCAAAGAACAAAAGATCAACATGATAATTTAGTTCAACAAGTGTTACGTTTGAACAATAATGATGTTATAGGTGATGTTATTGATAAAAGTCCATTATCAGAATTAATTGGTTTTCATGCTGTTGTATTATTACCGAATGATGTTATGCATGATCTACATGAAGGTATACGAAGAGAGCTTTTTTTGTAGAAAATGATGATTTTCTCTCTATTTAGGTCTTTGTGGTCAATTATTGTTAGCAATGTTTAAAGAGTCATCAACAAAACGATTTCTTTCTTACGCAGAAATTGAAGATAGGTTGATATCATTTGAACATGATTCTTATGATAAGAAAAATAAACCACCATTTTTAAGAAAAAAACATTTACATAAAGGAAAAATAATTGGTACAGCATCTCAACAAATGTGTTTATTTTGACTATTTTCGATTATATTTTATGACATAATTGATCGGTTGGATACTAAAGGATGTCTATACTTGTTTACATGAAATTGTCAGTCATGTATATGCTTCACATAAGCAAATACCATTCAATACAATTATCATGCCATTTTCTACCGTTCAAAACACAACTCTCTTTAGAAAAATTCAATTTTTATTTTCTATCTAGATCGACTGAGCAGTTCAATATTTAGCTGAATTTTCATTTCTAAGTTAAACTTAGATTTAGATTTAGATCGATTCAAACGAGCAACGATTAGCAACTTATACTTCAAATATAATTTTATTTTATATTTAAATAAACGAACTACTAAAATACCTCAGAGATTGTGATTTCTTATCTTACTTTATTTTTCTGTTTAGATCGATCGAAAATGGCAGCGCTGAGTAAGTTATATTTTAAATACTTTTCCTATTTTATAATTATATCAACTAACCAAATGAATAACCAGGCAAACTTTGATTTCAAAATTCGATTTATTTTTCTATTTAGATCAATCCAAGTGAAAAATAGTTAGGCAAGCTATATTTGAAACAAAATTCTATTTTATATTTAGATCAACTAACCAGTTCAATAACTGGTAGAATTTTCATTTCTAACTCTGATTTTATTTTCGATTTAGATCATTCGAAACAAGTAGCGGTTAGTAAGTTAAATTTGAAATAAGATTATTGTTTATGTTTCGATTGACTCATCAGTTTAACATTTATGTGAATTTTTATTTCAAATTGTAATTTAATTCTATTTTTTTACCAATCGACAGGAGAAACAGTTAGGTAACTCATATTTAAAATATGATTTCCTTTTATATTTAGATCAACAAACCAGCTAAATGCTTCTGAGATTTTCGATTATATTTTTAATATGATATTCTATTTAAATCAATCGAAACAAGGAAGGATCAGTAAGTTATATTTGAAATAAAATTTTATATTATATTTAGATTAACTCACTAGTGCAACACTTAAATGAATTTTTCTTTGAAATTGTAATTTAACTTTTGATTTAGATCAATCGAAATGAGCAGCCATTACTAAGTTATATTTGAAACATATGGTTTTATTTTATATTTAGATCGGCTGATCAGTTGAATACTTCAGTTTATTTTCATGTCTAATTCTAATTTAATTTTATATTTAGATCAATCGAAATAATGAACGTTGAGGAAGTTATATTTCCAAGGTGATTTTATTCTATATTTCGATCAAATAACCATAGCAATAATTAAGTAAATATTTATTTCGAATTGTGATTTGATTTTGTATTTAAATCAATTGAAATATACAACTGTTTGTAACTTATATTACAAATTTTATTTTATTTTATATTTGGCTTGATTTACTATTTCAACACTTGGTTGAGCTTTTATTTCAAAGCTCAATTTCATTTTCTATTTAGATCAATCGATGCGAGAAAGAGTATGGCAAGTCACATTATAAGCATGATTTTTTTATATTTAGATTAACTGACCAGTTGAATATTTACACAAATTTTCATTTCAAATTGTAAATCAGTTTTGTACTTAGAGCAATCGAAACAAGCAACGCTTAGGTAAGTCATATATTAAATATGACTCTTACTCTATATTTAGATACACTCATCAGAGCAATAGTATGGCAAAGTTTATTTCAAATTCTCATTCATTTTTGTATTTAGATCAATCAAAACGACGAATGGTTGGGTAAGTTATATTTCTAATAAGATTCTTGTTTTATATTTAGATCAACTAACCAGTTAAATACTAAGACAAGCTTCCATTTATAATTATCATTTAGTTTTGTATTTAGATCAATGAAAAGAAGTAACGACAAAGTAAGTTATATTTCTAATAAAATTCTGATGTTATATTTAGATCAACTAAGCGAAGCAACACAGGTAAGTTGTCATTTCTAATTGTAATCTGGTCATATATTTAGATATATCGAAACAAGCAACGTCAAGGTAAGTTCTATTTAAAATAGAACTTAATTTTGTACTTAGATGAACTAACCAGTTGAATACTTATAGGTAAATTTTGATTTCAAATTATTATTTAGTTTTGTATTTAGATCACTCGAAACGACGAATGGTTAGGTAATATACATTTTAAATATAGTTTTACTTTACATTTAGATCAACTGGCCAATGCAATAATTTGATAAGTTTTTATTTCAAAGTGTTATTTAATTTTCTATTTAGATCAAGTGAAGCGAGCAATGATTAGGTAAGTTATATTTCAAATAAGATTCTTATTTTACATTTAGATCAACTAATCAAAGGACTACTTATTTAAGTTTTTATGTTAAATTGTAATTGAATTTTGCAATTAGATCAATCGAAACAAGCAACAACAAAGTATGTTATATTTCAAATATGATTTTATTTTGTATTTAGATCAGTTCAAGAGATCGATGGTGTGGGACGGTTTCATTTCAAATTTACGTTAAAAGTGTTATTCGGATCTGCAGAAGGCGTCGATGATAAAGTAAGTATCTGTTAAATTATCACTCTCAATTCATATTCAGATGAGTAGAATCGTGTACTTGTCTACGTTAGTTTCAAATAGATATAAGGATGATAGTTAGTCTTCTAATGCTTAAGAACTTAGGAGGTGGCTCTCAGATATGGAACGGAAATGATATGAGATTTTATTTGTGCTGGTAGAATTATTGGCATCCTTACTGACCGTAGCGTGGCTAAGATGGTGTGGATATCTATGTAGTTGTGGCATGATTCCTATCATGTACGGTTAACAGTAGTTCATGGAGACGTGTGGCTGTGTTGTGCGTTATTTTCAATGAATCATTCTAAAACTATGGTTAGTGATGTGGTTCAAAACTGGATGGGCAAATTTTGTGAATAATTTATTACATTGAGTAGAAAGAGTAGTGTACAAAACCCTATTCTGGCGTTTTCAATAAGGGTTTCGTACAGAACCCGATTTATACGAAACCTAAAAGGGTTTCGAATTCGTTGCAAATCTCGAAACCCTTTTAGGTTCCGTACGGTACCTTTTTTTTTTCAGTGTAGGCAGCATTTGCGAGTATACTCAGACTCATTCTACGTTTGAGCGACTACATGGATTCAATGCGTTCTATTAGTTTATAGGAAACTGATTCTCCTGCAAATACATGAGGAACAGATTGAAAATGCTGATAACTGAGGTAATGGTCATAATGAACATAATGGTGACAATGGACATAATGGCCACAATGAACGCAGCGGCTGAAATGCGTCTGATGGACGTGGTGTGGAAAAGGCGAATGAACAGCGATGAAGTGTGAGATCCTCCGTGACATCCAAATTGAGAAAGACGTGGTGTGACTCTCTCCATGGTACCCACATCGAAAGAAACGTGGTGTGACTCCGTGCGGGGCACCCAATGTCCATGATACCTGTTATATCCCTGATGACCACTCTGTCGACTAGGAATACGGAATGCAGTTTCTGGAAATTGATTCCACGTCCTGATACCTATTGAGTTTCCTAGAGACTAATCTAACGCATTATATCACAACATGAAATTATACGCGAAGTAATTCTTGTTGTTTTTCGCGAGAATAGGATAGTACGCCGTAGTACATGCCCACTTATGACACAATTTTTCATACCGTACATTCCAGTACGTAAGAACAAATGGGAACAGATGGTAGTTAATTCTACACTGTTTTCGGGAGTACATAGAAGAAGATTAGAGGGCATGGCAATACCTAGTACTTAATGGCAAGTAATTGCAAGTTTTTTCCGGGAGTACAAGGGAGTATATGGTTATACATGGCAATGCATGGCAATGCATGGCAATAAAACCCAAGTAATTCTAAGGTTTTTCGAGGAGTACAAGGCAGTACATCACAATACATGCTCAGAAATTCTAGCGTTTTTCGTGCAGTAAAAGATAGTACATTGTAATACATGACAATCCATCGCAATATATGCAAATACAGGCAAACCAATTCCAACGTTTTTTCGGGAGTACAAGGTGGTACATGGCAATACATGTTAACATATGGCCATATAGTCAAGTAATTCTAAGTCTTTTTGGGGAATACAAGGTTGTACATGACAATATATGGTAATACATGGCAAAACAAGCCAAGTAATTCTAAGGCTTTTCGGGAAATACAAGGTAGTACATGCCAATACATGCCAAGTAGTTCTAAGGTTTTTTGGGAAGTATATGGTACTACATGGCAATGCATTGGAATACATGCTAAGTAATTTTAGGGTTTTTCGTGGAGTAGATGGTAATACATAGTAATACAAAAGAGTATATCGCTGGTGGGTATGGTATTTTTGGAATACAAGCTGTACTTGTATTGGCGCATCTGTGCTCTACAGGCAGAATCCTGGACCCCGAGTAGTTTATTTGTTTTTTCTGTAGATAGCTTTGCTAGAGATCAAAACTATAGGAGAAGAATCGTAATTCCCAAAGGACAATCTAGTGGTAAGGACTTTTTTAGGCTTTTTCTAGTTTCGCAATCTTCCTATGGGCAAAATATGAGATCCAACGAACGAGAACAGTCGAAGAAGTTGCCTTGTTAGATGATCCAAAAGGAGTCCAACCAACGTTTTGTGAGGTAAGATCCTGACCTCATTGAGGGTTCTAACCACTTACTTGTCATTATATATATAGAAATTAAAATTCTCAAACTATTGTTTGTTTCACTACTCTTAGGAGTGATTTGTGTATTATTATACTGACTCTAGCAAAGAGTCACCCAGAGAGTGTGTACGAAATGACATTTTGTCATTTCCCAGCATTACATACATATGGCAACTTTTCGATCCTATTTCTGATTGTCACTTTCTTGCTTTCTCTTCCTCGAAAAGCGTTTAGGTGTGATGAACGATATTTTAGAACAAAACTCCTTTTAAAACGGCAAACTGCTGTTCCCTGAATAATTTTGAAAGATGCTGATATTTCGAGATCTGAATTGCTTTTATCTTTTTCCTTAAGAACAGTGGGAACAGATGGTCGCATGGGCAACAATATGTA